CCTCCAGCAGCTGCTTGAGCCGCTCGATCTCCTTGTTCTTGTCCTGGATGGTCCTGGCCGCCTCGTCCAGCGACTGCTTGTAGCGGGCGCCCTCCTCGGCGCGCTGCTGGGCCAGCTGCCGCAGCTCCAGCTCCAGCTGCTGCCGGCGCCGCGCCTGCTCCGAGCCGCAGGCCTTGTGCTCCTTGGCGTCCTCCTCCGCCCGCCGCAGGCTGTCCGTGGTCTGGGCCAGCGTGCCCTTGAGCCGCTGCACCTCCTCGGCCAGGCAGCGGTTCTCGCGGCCGAGGGCGTCCACCTGGGCCCGGAAGCCGCTGCTGTCCTGCTCCTTCTGCACCGTGAGCTGGTGCAGGGTGGTCTTGGTGACGTTGATCTCGGCCTCGAACTGGCTCCTCAGGCTGGCGACCGCCTCGTCGTGCGAGCCGCGCGCCTTGGCCAGCTCGCGCTCGGACTCCCGGCGGCGCTTGGCCTCGTCCTGGAACTCGGCCTTGAGCCGCTCGATCTCCTTGTTCTTGTCCTGGATGGTCCTGGCCGCCTCCTCCAGCGACTGCTTGTGCCGCGCGTCGTCCTCGGCGCGCTGCTGGGCCAGCTGCCGCAGCTCCAGCTCCAGCTGCTGCCGGCGCTGCACCTGCTCCGAGCCGCAGGCCTTGTGCTGCAGCGCCTGCTCCTCGGCCCGCCGGCGCTGCTCGGAGGCCTGCAGGACGCCGTCGTGCAGCCGCGCGATCTCAGCCTGGAGGTCCCGGTTCTCCCGCGAGAGCCGGTCCAGCTGGCCGCGGAGGCTCTTGGAGTCGTCCTCCCTCTGCATGGACAGCTCCTTGAGGGTGGTCTTCGTCACGTTAATCTCTGTCTCATATTTGCTCCTTAAATTACTCATCTCCTCATTATAGTGGGTTCTTACCTTTGCCAGCTCATTCTCATACTCCCGCTTCCGCGCGCCCTCCTCCTGCAGCAGACCCCTCAACCTCTCTATCTCGTACTCCTTCTCCTTGACGGCCTTCTCGGACTCGAGCTTCTGCCAGCCCAGGCTCTCCTTCTCGCACTGCCGGGCCTTCTGCAGCTGGTCGTAGTCGCTCTTCTGCTGGTCGAACCTGTCCTCCACCGCCTTGCGCCTCCGCTTCTCGTCCTCGACCTCGTAGGTCAGGCGGGTGATCTTCTCGTTGAGCTCCTTGATCTGGCCGTAGCACTTGTCCAGGTTCTGCTTGGCGGACTTCCCATCCAGCTCGGCCTGGCGCTTCAGCTCCTCCAGGCTCACGAGCTTGGCCTTGAACTGGGAGCACTCCGCCTGGTACTTCTGCAGGTTCTGGTCCAGGAACTTGTTCTTGTGGCAGTTCTCGGAGTTGGCGTCGCGGGCCAGCCTCAGCTCCTCCTCTAGCACCTCGATCTTGGTGTTTTTGAGCTGCGGAACGGGAAGAGGAAAGCACGATGAAGAGGGGGAGACCTCATGGGCCACCACCCCCCACCACCAGCGGTGGCGCCGTGGGTTGGCGCGGAGCCGTCCTGAGTCTGTTAAGGGGAAGGACGTCCTGAAGGAGCTCTGCGGAGTCCTGTGGACCCCACTCCCACTCCAGCTTTCTGGAACCTACCCCCTGCTCCAGTGATTGGAAACTACAACTCCCAGCAGCACCTGGGAGAGCACTGCGAGGAGCCAAGGGTGGAGCTGACAGGAATTCTGGGACATTTAGGGGATGAATAAGGTGCCACTTGGTTAAGGGGAAGGACGTCCTGAAGGGGCTCTGCAGAGTCTTGTGGACCCCACCCCCTACTCGGGCTTTCTGGACCCTACCCCTTACCCTAGGGATTGGAAACTACAACTCCCAGCAGCACCCTGGAAAGCGCTGTGAGGAACCAAGGGCGGAGCTGGCAGGAATTCTGGGACATTTGGGGGATGAATAAGGTGCCCTTTGGTTAAGGGGAAGGACGTCCTGAAGGAGCTCTGTGGAGTCCCGTGGACCCCACCCCTTCCTCCAGCTTTCTGGACCCTACCCCAGGGATTGGAAACTACAACTCCCAGCAGCACCCGGGAGAGAACTCTGAGAACCCCGGGGTGGAGCTAGCAGGAATTCTGGGACATTTGGGGGATAAATAGGGCACAACTGCATCTTGTGCTCTCATCTGGGAAACGGCTCTACAGACCGCCTGACTTGGTGTGCTCAGTCAGCAGAGCCCTAAGGTGTTTCAGTTACTTTGTGTCCCGCTCTCTTTTCCTGGGTTGTTTCCCATTCCTTTCCCCTTCTGTAAATAAACCCATTATTGACCCTTTTGTGTGTCCCTGCAGTATAACTGAATTGTGAGCACACGGGTGAGGCCCGATAGACAAGTGGCCCGGTCCACTCTGGGCTTTCCCGGCCAGGGAGGGACCCCAGGGTACAGCAGACCTCTCCTGTCTCCCCGCTGCCCCCTAAGCAGTGTCTTCATCCATCTGCCCATCCTGCTCCCCACCCTGTCTCTGGGGAGTCCTCTCACCCCCCCCACCTCTGGCCTGCACCCCAGTTCTCGTGTGCATCAATAAATAAATCTTCAAACAAAAATAAAGTGAGGCGGAAACTCAAGTCATCGACCGAGGAAAACTCAGAACCAGCCAGCCCGGGGCAGGTACCTGGGGTCGCCAGACGCAGGGTGCGGTGGCTCCGCCGTGGAGCGCGACCCCCCCCACCCCCGCATCCGACGGGGCGGCCAACGGACCCTAGCCTGCACCCCCGCGCCACCCGAGGCCCGAGGCCCTGACCTTCAGATCCTCCATGCTCTTCAGCATCTCGCTCAGGAACCTGTAGTAGTCCCCGGAGCGCGTGAGCAGCTCGATGTACCGGGCGTGGATGTCCCCGGCCTGCGGGGGAGAGACACCTTCAACCCTGGCCACGGGCACAGTGGCACTCTGACGCCACGGCGTGGGCCTCGGCCCGCCGAGCGGGCTCCCCCACAGGGCCCAACATAAACGGGAAGGTTGGGGACACCCAGAGCCCCGAATCCCCAACCCACCCCGGGCAACGGTGGGGGGACCGGAGGGGACCGTGCCCTCTGACAGGGCTTTCAGTCTCTCCACGTGACACTGGGGACGCAAGCCCCGTCACGCCCAGACCCTGATCCTCGGCAGCAGAGTCGGGCTTCCCTGGCCCGTTCTAATGTGCACCCTGCACGCTGGACTCACTGCCCGCCAGCATGGCCTCGAGGGGCTTCGGGACATGGGCGGGTGGGGCAGGGGCAGGAAGGGCCCCGTGCGCGGGTCACCTCTTGCAGGATCACCCCTGAGGGGGACTGGACCATGGTTCTCTTGATGGGGATGTTCAGCAGCGTCTCCAGCCCCGATGTGTAGGACGCCAGCTGCAGCTCATAGTCCTGCGGGCGTCAGGTTGAGACAGGCACCCTCAGCGGCCAGGGCGGCTCGTGCCAGAGCCGGGCTGCGGGCCGCTGCCCACTGTGAGCCGCCGCGGGTGGCAGCTCCCTGTGTCCCCGGAGGGGGCGGGGGGTGGGCCGCAAAAGCCCTGGCCGCTGGCCGGGAGGCGCCCCCGAGCAGGCGGAGGGCACCGGGCATGGGTGCCACGCCGGTCACGCACCTTGATGGAGTTCCCGCAGAGCTCTGCGATCTTCTGGACCTCCTCAGACTTGTCCCGCTTGCCACAGATCTCATTGTGCAGGTTCTGCGGGAGCAGGGAAACAGCGGGGTCAGAGGGCGCCAGCAGGGGTCAGAGGGCACCAGCAGGGGTCAGAGGGCATTAGCGGGGGTCACAAGGTGGTAGTGGGGGTCACAGGGCTTTAGCAGGGTCAGAGGGTGCCCACGGGCCTGCGTGCTTATGAGCGAGCGCCGTCTGCGTCCCCTACCAGGGGGCATTCAGCAGTCACCCTGCAGAACTGGGTGCTGCTCCAGGAGGTCAGGGGCTGGGACGGCAGGTGGGGTGGCGGGGCGCCCAGGGAGGGCGGGGGCGCTGGGGG